TAAGAGTTAATTGATATCTGCCTTATTATCAAATTAGTAAGAAAGCAATAGATGTAATGAAATCATTACTGAGTATATTGATTTCAAAGTGATTTGAAAGGGAAATTCACACTATTATTTTGAAGCACTGTATTGAAAATGATATGGTATGGGATGTAAAAGCAAGAAGGAAAAGAAATTCAAATGAAGTGTTTAAGAATTAATATGTTGATGAATGATAAGCATTAGAGTTTGGTATTTTGAATTTAAAAAAGGAATTTTAGTAATTGAATATTTTCTGATTCTGAAATATAGGTATATGACAGACTGCAGACATTGGGAGTGACTGTTTCCCATGCAACTTTGAACAAAGTGCAGGACCAGATTGGAGGCCATTTTAACCAAGAACTTATACAAGCAGTCCTGGATGGCAAACGATTCAGAATCGTTGGTGACAATGTCAATTTCATGGTGACAGCAAGTCATCAACGTAAAGGGAATTCAACTCATATGGAGCATTGGTTTGCCTCTGCAGCCATTATTCAAAATAACATTTTTGATCATTTACCATCTGATTTACCTCAGCTGCCTCTTCTTGACCTGCCACCCCAGTCATTTCTCCCAGATGAAAATGATTTTAAAGTTATTTCAAATGATTATATCTATATCATATTTCAAATTCTGATGAGACATATGAAATTCTTCAAGCAGTTTAAGCAATTGACACCTGAACTGAAAAATGATTTACGAGCTACGGACTGTGACATGAAGTCCAAAAATGTAGTTGTCACATTTCCAGTTCTCTTCAAAAATGAACAAAGTTATGCAGAAGTTGTAGATATAATGGACAGCTACGAAGACCACATAACAGAAGTTTATGGTAAAAGCAACACAGATCTGGATGGTGTTAAAGTCCACATAGGTGGTGACCAACTAACAAGGGAAAGATTTTCTGGTGCCAAGCGAGTACGCCAACAAGCTATGACTGAGAAAGAACGGTTTGTTCACCTGTCTCCAGTAACATTTGAATTCTTCCATTTACAGATGGCTTTCCTGACAACGTTCTTTAAGACACTGTACAATGACAACTGTACTGAACCTGGAACTTTGTATGCAGAAAAGATAAAGCTGGGGAGATCACATGCAAATGGGGAAGACGTAAAGAATCACTATGAGCAATGCAAAGAACTTGGCAGTTCTGTGATATCATCACATGTCGTTGTGGCAGCTTTGCAATACTTTAACATGAAAGATGTCGATGAAGAGCCTGCCACCTTAAAAGATTTGCTTGATAGTGAACAAGGTGATGCAGAGAAGAAGCAGATTATATGTGATGTTATTGGGAATTTTGTACAGAAATATATCTTTAAAGATTCCTTGCAAATTATTCAAAATTCCACTAGGAACACAGTCACAAACATGTGTGGAAATTGATATTACCAGCTCTGATGGAAGTCCTATGAGGATACTGGTACCTGTAGTTGAACAGCGACATGATGTAGTGGAATCTTATTCCTCCCGTATATTAGAACTAGGGCTTGCCTTTGAAAGCCTTCTTTTGAATGTCAAAATACCCAACAGAAACAGAATGCTGCCTCTTTTGAAGTACCTTATGTGTCTACTAAAAGGACATAACTGGAAGTCAAAGTATGCTCTAGAAATTTTAAGATTCCTTTGTCAGCAACTCTCAACTATGGATTTAAAATTGGCACATGAGACCTTTTATGGTCTTTTTGTCAATAATTCTGGAAAAGAAAACACATGCATTGCTGCAGATCTACAGATGGAGCACATAGTTAGACTTGTTAAAGACAATTTAAAGGCAGTTCATTCAAATAAAAATGAAAAAACAATGGCAAAACGCTCATCAGCTTTGCCTGGGATGAAAGTAATTACTAACAATTTTGATTTCATCTCTAACACATTGATCCGAGCAAGCAAGCACAAGATTCCTTCCTCATCAGATGATGAGCAGCTGATTATTAGTTCACTCATTCAAATGAAGCCATTTTCTTGTGTGCCAGGGCGCCAAATGTCATCATATAAGAGCCCAGTACAAAGTCCATTGAAGAAATTGAACATCAAGAATTTAGTGTCATGGATTAGAGAACATCAGTACTTGCAATTGCATGATCTTGGTCAGTGACATCAACTCAGAAAAACATAAAAATCAAGACAGAAATTAGGAAACAGTTGATATCAGATCCTCCCAAATATTTATCTTCACAAATGCCACTTTACCAAGGGCATGTAATATTTTTGATTTAGGGATCTATGGTATTATTAAATTGCGGTGGGTGACATGCCAGTCGCTAACTGCTATTTTTGCCTTGTATGAAATTTACTATTCACATTAGCATGCTTCAGTTCATGTCTGTTGTAATTCCTGGGAAATCGTCCATTATATCTACAACTTCTACATAACTTTGTTTAATTCTAGTGGGTGACTTGTCATTTAAGTGCTATTTTAAAAAAATTCATTACTTGCTAGCTTGTACAATTTCATTAAGTGGTAGTTTGCAATTACATTACATGGCAGCCTGCATCTGAGTTCTCAGTTGTTTTGCAATCCTGTATTTTTTTTAATTTGCGGTGGGTGACATACCAGTCGCTAACTGCTATTTCTGCCTTATATGAAATTGCTATTCACATAAGCATCCTTTGATCTGTTCATATCTGTTGTAATTCCTGTGAAGTGAGGTAGTTTAATTCCAGAAGGCAACCTCGCTGTCAGTTAAATGGTATTTTTGTGTTATTTGCTTATTTACACAATTCCTGGATTATAGGGGGAATTTGGAGGCATTCTTCACTTCATGCAGTAAAATTCTATGATAATTACTACAGATTGGAATATGCTTCAATTCAAGATTTGTTGTGAATTGAGGACTTTATTTTTATGAATCAGTTTTGTAGGTATGTTGATGGTAAATTTATCATTGTACTACACTACTTCAAGTTACATGATCAACCTAGCTGTCAAACAGTGACTGTTCACATGGAAACTTCAAAGGATACAAGCTCAGAAACAGGATAACTTGCCAAAAATTATTTACTCATGGTAATGATATACATTGTATACTGCTGATAGTATATATTATATATTCATATACACAATAAGAAATTAATCTCAGAAAAAAATTTTGATTTGAAATGATTTTGTTTTTGGTAGATATAGCAACAAAAAGTATACAAAGGGAAAATTCTGCTGTTTTCATGGTAAGTGCACAGATTTAGCTTTATTGTAATGCTGTAGAAATGATTTACACCTTTCACTTGATCAAAGTACTTAAAGTGCTCTGCCCTCCATAACAGTGGTACCAATTATACATGTAACATACAATATGATATAAATATGATATAAACATTGTGGATATTTGTTAAATATTCACCTACTGATTCACTTCTGACCCATTCTCAGTCAAGTATCACCATTAAATTCTTTAAAAAAAACAAGACGTGTTTGTGAAACACTTATGCCCCCGTATGGCAGCTTATGGTGAAGGTTAAAGTTTCTCAAATGCAAGCCAAACTCCAAGGTCAAGAGATCAAAAATGTTGTTACCCAAAGAAAGGACTTGTGTCAATGGATATACCTGGTAAATATGAAAGCTCAAGTACCAAAATTCAAAAAGACATAAGTAAAATTAAACTGTCCAGGGTATTTTTGCAAAGTAGTTCAAAGGTCAAGGTCAAGTTGATTGTAACTGTATACAGTGGTACTTTTCATATACCCCGGTAATATTTTATGACAAACAGTGCACATGCTAAATATGACAGACTTACCTCTTAAATTTGAAAAATATGCTGTCTATATGCAGTATGAAATATTTTGAAAAGTATGTCAAAGGTAAAGGGTCATGAATCTGGTAACCATGGTATTTAAAAAAGCCATAGTGCCAAGCAATATATATTCAAAATATCAAGTCCATACCTCTTACAGTTTTTCAGGTATAAGGTGTGGTAGACCGACAGACAGACAGACAGAAGCTGGGTAAAGTGATCCCTAAGTCACAGTTGCTCTGCTCTGAAGGTGACAGAAAAATTAGGTCTTATACATGTGGTATATGCTGAGAGCGACCTTAACATATGTTCATTAATGTGATGCCAAAATGCTGGCTACTTTCTCTGACAGATTTATATCCAATCCAAATTCTGATACAAGATATTTGGAGTTTGTAAACAAATGTGCTTCATTAACTATTTTCTCAACAATATATGTATCAAGCACACAATCTGTTTCTGCCAGAAGGTTAACTATTTTTTCACGAATAGCAGATTTCTGAATATTGTTTGGAATTTCGTTGAATTTCCAAAGGAAGCCCAAATCTGGTTGGCAAATGTCACAACATTTGTTCATAGATGTTTCATTTTCGCATCCAAAATATGTATTAAGAACTTTCCTTCTGCACTCTGACTCATTTTTACAATATTCCATCATAGATTTCTTTACAGAGGAGTTACCTATGTCGGAATTGTTAAAGTACAGTATTCCCTCTGCCTGAATACCACTTCTGCCAGCTCTTCCTATTTGCTGTATGTATGCTGTTCAAAATGGAAAAGTATCCCAATAATATAGGATTCAGTGATTATGAATTCGAAATTTTTTTATTCAAAGGTTTGCTAAAAGTAGTTCCCCTGATTTGTATAATTTATACAACAAAATTATTGACAATATTTAGTAACTGCAGTTGTAACTCTATTGTTTGTGATTGTATAACTGAATCCCAATAATCATACAACATGTTACTTAACTTTAAGTTAATATGTCTTTTTTTTTTTTTTTGAAAGTTACAGACAATGACCTTCAATGTTTTGTGGTAGTCCTGCATGGATGACTGTTCTAACATGTCTCAAGTCTGCCCCCATTCCTAGAGCAATGGTGGAGATCACAACTCGTAATGGAGTTTCATTTGGGTGTTTGGAGATGTTTTTGTAGATCATACCTTTGGTCTACATTTATTAAAATATTTATTATGTTTATAATTATCAATTTATTTAATTTTAAACTGTCATAATATATAATTAACGCTATATCAGTGAATTTGAACCTCATGTAATTCAATGATTATTTAAAAACAGTTAAGTGCCACTGAACATAAATTAAGAACAAAGAATTTAAACATACCTCCTCATCTCTACCAATTGAAGAGTGAAACATTACTACTCTTGCATGTTCAATATCTCTTACTCCATCAAACATATCATCTCCAAGTATGCGCTGTGCAACCTGTGTATAATTTTGATTAAGAATCATTTATTTTTATTATTGTGACAGTAGTTTGTGAAGAAATCGACTTAAAAAATTGATAAACAGGAAATATTTTGCTTTATTTTACCTGTATTTTAATTTGCAATAATATTGTTCTTAATACCTCATAGCCATATCCAACCCAGTTGATTCCAACACAATAAATGAGAGTGACAGGGTAATCCTCTTCGTTTCTCTTCAGATCACAAAACACATTTTCAAAAATGTAATCATATGATGCTTGTGTAGACACTTTTCTACTGGGTCTTCGTAGAACAATCAAGGAGAGATTGTCACGCAATGGTGATGTTTTAATTAATTTTGGGTTTTCCATGCCAAGGAATTTTGTAATATCTACAACACCATTAACTGAAACAGTTGCAGACAGAGCTAAAAACTTAGCATCTGGTCTGACAGCACGCAGTTGCTTTATTTCCCGAAAGATTGGGCGGAAGTCATGTCCCCAGTCTAAAATACAATGGGCCTCATCTACCACAATATACATATAGTCAGATACACTCTGTAGTAGCTTATAAACCTCTGGTTTTCCAACAACAGCCTCTGGGTGTGCAAAAATGTACATTGTTTTCCCTTTCTCAAAGTCTTTTATAAAATCATAACTGGAACTATTCCTTAAAAGGAAAGAAGAATCGCTGAGCTTTTTCATTTGTTCCTCAATTATCACATTTAAAGGTTCAATGACAAGAACAACTGCAGGGTTCCCTGTCACTTCCAAATGATAAAACGGAAGAAGTTCATATAACAAACTTTTTCCGTATCCAGTAGGCAAAATAGCTACAACATCATGGTGCAGAAGACTTTCCAAAGACTTTTGTTGAAGTGGTTTCAATGCTGAAATGTTCTGGTCAAACATCAAATTGTACTTTTGTAGGGCCTTTCAAAAAGAAGGGTAAAAATGCCTATTTATAATTGTTATAACATGACATTACAGGTGTTTGAATATACCTTCTGTTATATTTGAGTATTGTGAATTTCATTTTATCTCATTTCACTTTTTTGGAATGATGAATAAATGTTTTAAAAATAAAGATGAAATTCACTATTATAACTTACAAAACGGAAGAAAATGTCCTTAAATTTTGTGAATTTTTATATGCATGTATATGGGAGAAATTTTTAGCTGTAAGAGTTAACTCCCTTAGTTGAGATTTACTGTGTCTCAATTGTATTACTTAAAATGATTTTATGAGATATTGGTCATATTACATGATGCCCGGTATAACTTAGCTCAGAGGTGTTTGGAAATACTTTTAGTGTTGTAACTTTGTGTTGTGAATGTCATTATTTATCAGTTTGCTTTTGTAAGAGTGTGAATTATATTTGCTGAAGAAGTTTTTTTTTAGAATAAAAGTAATTAATGAATTTAAATTAAACTATCATTATCAAATAAATTAGATTTAACTTATAGAGCAGAGAAAGAAAATATATTCAGATGGCTTTAATTTGGTATAAATTTTTATGCTTAGTAAATGAACTGATTTTATAGGTATTAGGTGTAAGAGTTGTCTCCCTTTACGAGATTAAATGTATGTATTGATGTGGACATGTCAGCGAATGAGAACTGCATGTAAGTGAGAATTAATTATGTTTATATAATTGATGTATAGTATTGCCAATTTTCATTTGGTTTTCTTATGTGCACTGTGTTCACAAGGTATTGACAGATGCATGTAATGCTGTTGTAAAAGATGCTATTTTTGAAGTTGGATGTTGAGATTTGTTAAAAACAAAGTAATATGATATATTAGTTGCATCAGGGACAAACAAGATGAACTTAACATGGTAAGATTTGGACACATATAGATGCAGATTTAAATAAAATATTTTACATGTTAATACAAAGATTTCTTGAGGTGCATATACTTCGCATAACAATGTTCAAAGTCTTGTAGACAACATTTGATAGATATTTTTAATGTACAATATACAATATGTAAACCTCTCAACACAAATTGCAAGAACTGTTGGCTTTCTGCTCATAATCTAAATGTTGAAACTTAACTTGTAGATATTTTAATGAGATGAACAAGAAGGATTTTGTAAAATGTGTTCATTGAAGCTGATTGAAGATGAATTTCATTCTATATTCTTTTCATTATGACCTCAGATTGATGTATTTGAAAAAAGTATTTATTTAGTATAAGAAATGTAGTGTTTGGAAATTAATTCAACTTCTAAGAATACAAAGTGTGAGGGAACTATGTAATCACTAAATCTCAGAAAATATTCATGTGAAGCCTCCATTAGCTGAATGAATTATTTCTTATTTTCAATTGTTTCATAATTACAATTACCTGATATAACATTCCCTATGTACTTTAATTATTATGCTCACTCTCATATTGTTATATTTAATGTTATATACAGTAGTATTTTGTAATTACATGAATTATGCACTATGATGTGCGACATGTGCCATATGGCACAGGAAATAAAAAAACATGAACCCTGCAACCAAAACTGACTTTTAAAATTGTCTTTTCCAACATTATGTATAAGACATCAACGTAGTTTCTATCAATGTTTGCTTAGACTATGCTGTTAGGATATACTCAGTTTTCAATTTTTCTATGAATTCCATTTTTTTCTCATTTTCATATGTCAATGCATAACAAGAACAATGCTCCCAGGAATTGAACCTGGATCTCCTTATCCCTTTTTTCAGCTTGGATAAGGTGTGTTACCATTACACCAAAACAAAGTTATTTTACATGCATTGAAAAGGAAAATGATTTTTTTTTTACTCAAAAATTTTGAAACAGCTTGGAACATTTTTTTTTTAAATTTATCTAGGTACTTTATCTGTCTATCCTTTTCACATCAATAGGAGGAAAAAAGTTGAGAACAGTTTAATCTCAGGAAGATTTGTTGAGACAAAAATCTTGGAGTGAATTTCACTTGAAAGAGTATAAAATGTTGCAAAAGTATGCATTCTGTAAAAAAAGGAAATTTTTGAGATTTTTTCAAAGGAAAGGAAAAGGGTACCACTTAACATTAGGTAAAACAGTACTGAAAAATCAGTGTAATTGCCCAAATTAAAATGATAAATAGCCTGTTTGGATCTTCGGATATAATACCAGTTATGCATGGGATATTAAAAAAAATCACTTAAAAAGGGGGGGGGTAATTAGGTCCGTTATTTTTTTTGTTATCTGCAAAATTATATACATGAGGCATGCAGAAAAAAATGTTTACCTGAAGTGTTTTCAGTGATTTTGTGTCTTTCCTCTCATTTTCGTGCAGATTCATTCTATTTTTACTGTGAATTTATATCACATTTCTTAAAAAATCGTGATGCATTTATATATGAAAGCAGCTTCCCATTCTTGACCTAATTATTTCGAAAAACTTTCAATGAAGTGTTCAGAGGTTTGTTAAATCTGAGTGTGTTATGATATGTCATTCATGTTTACAAGTGAACAGCTGATCGATGAATGTCGGCAAATGTGTGGTAGGTTGGCAGATCAAATCAGGTGATTCGTGGACAAATGGCAGTATATATAATTTCATTGAACTGAATTCTAATCAAATAAGTGAAAAAAATCGACATGACGCAGTGAAAAATGTGATTAATCGGGCAAGATTCATCATTTACATACAAACTTACCATATCGGCCGCCATCTTGGATGTTACTTAGGACGCTGACATTGCTAGGTGCATGCCAGGCCTTCTGTGCGTGCACATCGGAAGGCCTCGGGAACCAGGCTACGTTAGAACTAGTCTGGTTCCCTGCCCCTGCTTCGTGTACTTCGCATCACTCGCCACTACCTTATAAGCCAGGGGACCAGGTTATTTTAGAACATGAAAGTTTTTTTTGTATTTCGATCCCGATGTTCATTCATTTAAATACGAGTCAGCAAAACGGTGAAAAAGTTGAAAAAGTTCAGAGTGGGCTAGTATTTTTATGACACCATCATTGAAAATTCGGGCCATACAGTTGCTCGTCTGTTTATCTGTTTTTCAGCAAAAAAAAAATAATCTTGTCCATAACTTTTGAAGTTGAAAGCTAGACTTTACTTGAATTAAGCTAGGGCTTTAATTTTTACATGCATGGGTCATGGGAATTTTTCACTCACATAGAGACGCCACCATTTGCCGTTGGAGAGCTGCAAAGAATGATTGCACTTAGTGTACAAAACGTGGCCCCCAGTAAATTGCGCAAAAATAAAGTATAGAAAATAGCCCTATGCGATGAATAATGCGATTCTTCTGTGTCTAAATCGCAAATTTGCGAAATTACGGGAATTAAAAGTCCATAAAAATAAAGAACAAGCTGTGTTTTGTAAGAGGGGTCACTGAAATTCACGAATCTCCATTGATATTCAAAGTTATTCCGATTTTTAAAGCCGTAATACATGGTGAGCGCATTGTTGCCCAAATTTCTCAAAAGGACAGAAAGTATATAACTGTTGGAAATTCATCATATTGAAAGGAGAATTTTGGGCAAGTCTGCGCTCGGGGTAAACTTTAGAAAAAAGGTAGAAAACACCGACCGTTTTCTTCACTATTCACGGGTATTTACATGTCATTGACCTCATTATGACCTGTTGAATATTCCAATTATCACGTGATTTGTAGACTCAGGTACATGTAACTTAGTGAATAAAAAAAAAATCAATAAATCACGTGGCTTTATATAGCTCCGATTAGCAATTCAGACCGTTACATTTTCAATTGATCAACATCGAATTGTATTTTCCTGCTCAGTATTTTTACATGTAGTAGTGACAAATATTGCTAAAATATTCATTATTTTGTAAGTAAATTTAACATTTTTGAATATTTTCAAACCGGTATTTTTTTTTTATCTATTTTTTTTTTTTTTGTAATTTTGGTTATTTTTCTCTGTAATTTTGCTTACTAGTTTTTTTTTTCTCCCCACCCCTTCTTTTTGGTACATTTTCTACATTTTTGCTTTGTTTTTTTGTATTTACGTTGACCTTGATGTAGGGAGAAGGCTAATAATAGGCTGACCCTTCTATTAAATTCCGTTTACTTTTCTTAACAAAATATTCTTTAAATTAAAACATATCTATATTGATTTCAAATGAGTTCAATATAACTTTTCAAAGGAGTTCTTTAGGTATGTATGAAATCCAGCTTTTGGTAAAATCCAGGCCCGTAGGAAGCAATTTCAGTTTTTGGGGCACAGCCATACATTTTCATGCGGGCACTATCAACTACCAAAATTCCTTGACAAGCAAAAAAAAGTGGGGGGGGGGGGGTCAGACGTAATTATTGAAGGGACAGAAGTGTATGGTAGCTATATTTTCTATAGTGTTCTATATATTGGCAAAATTAGGGGGGGTCCGTGCCCCCCCCCCCCGGTTCCTACGGCCATGAAACCGATGATCCGATGTGGCATCCGATGGATATTAATATTGTTAAGGTATTAGGTCCACATTGAAAACAGAAAAAATAATGATGCTACCATTTATAAGAAATATTTGACAGATGAGGGTAATGGAATTTTAAATCGGGCAAATGTAATGATATTTTAGTTTTAGTCCTTGGATTTATGGGGTTCGCTTGGGGGCTCAATGAGTTTCCAAGGCATAGTCTACATCTTAGCAATAGCATCATTCCTTAAAATGTTTTTGACTGTAAAAATATAGATACAAGGGGGTAGAAGTACGTATAGATTGTTTAACACTGGAAAGCTTACTAGGACATAAAAAAAGAACATAACAAAACAAACAAGCACACATACAATTAATAAAATTGTTTCACTACAGCAGCGCAAAAAAAATGTTTTGTTATTCCGTACACCAGTATTTACTAGTAAGGAGAGAGAGAGAGTTTTATCATATTATTTTAAAAAATCGATACGGCACTAATCTTTTTGAAAATACAGAGGAAGTTGTTTTTCTTTCATATTATTTTTATCTTTTTTATTAAAATAATGTGAAGTGTGTATTTACATGTTCAAGTAGGCCTGGTTTATTTAGTGTTGATTTTCCACGTGTACGCCACGTACGTTTCTTAAATCGCAACTTACCCTATTTAAAATAAAAATTTTCGAAACAAAAGTAAGCTGTCTTTCACCTGTTTTTAAGTAAGCTGCTAGATTTTGTTTATTTACTACATGACTTCAAGGATCTACCAGAACCTACCAAAAATTGTGGGGGAAATCTGGATTTAGGGAGGGAGTACATGATGTACATCTTCAAGATCCTCCCCCGCACCCCTCTTTCAAAAACAAAAAAAAAAAAAAAAAAAAAAAAAAACTAGCTTAATCCTTGAGAAGTTTTAACATGTTCTTTGTGTTTACTTTTGTGTATTTTTTTTTAAATTCTATCATGCTAAGTAGTTCACAGAAACCATTATATAATTGGCCATTACATGTTTTCAATCGATCGATGAAATGCCCCGCCTACTCCTTAATGAGACAAAATTAAAACCCAGCTCGGACAAGCGCAACATTCCGGAATTAACAGCCACTAGCGGGCATTTTTAATTACCTTTAATAAAACTAAAGCGCAGTTTTCAATGTAAATTGTTGCAAGTAATGTACCACACAGATAACAAAATATGGGTTAGGTGTAAAATGATAAAGATTTGAGTTAATTAGATGATGTTTAGAGGGTTCGAAAAAAGGGGCCACGGCAATTAATATGCTTAAGTGGAAACATTCTTTTGTCCTATACTCGGCACTTACGGCCATTGAGCAGTGAGGGATCTTTTTTTTTGCCAGCACCTACTGCGACACGGGACCTCGGTTTTTAGGGTATCTTTCGAAGGACCGGTCTCCACGTCCCATATTGGGATTTGAACCGCCGACGTAAGGATTAAACTCCTAAAAATTACTCCGCGACTCTAACCACTGCGCCACGCGGGCGAATAGAATACAGTATACCAACACGTTTGCCTTTGACCTTGACCATGGGGTTTGATCTACCCTTGAAAAAAATTAGCCTTGGCTTACACTTTTGAGTGTTTTGCGCTTTGGCTTTCACATTTAACATATCTATTCTTTGTGACAAGAATTTCCCTTGAGAATCACTATAATTTGTAACCTCTTTACCTTGAAGTTTGACTTACTTTTGAAAAAAAAAATATTGGCCATAACTTTTGACCATTTGCTGTTGAGACTTTCATATTTCACCGATATATTCCTTTTTACCAGCACTGGTTCCTTTGAATACCAAAATTTTTTTTTTTTACTTTTGACCTTGAAATATGTCCTTCTTTTGAACAACTTTCACTTTAGCCATATCTTTTAAAGATTTGGTGCTAAGGCTTTCATATTTCACAGGTTAATTGTTTGTGACAAGACCTTTGTTTGGATAAAAACACTTTTGACCTCTTTGGAGCCTGACTTGCATTGATAATTTTTACCTTGTCCATTGCTGTCATACGTAGGTACACGGTTTCACAAACAGATCTGTTTCATATGATAACATGATACATGTATACGTAACTATTTATCAAAAAAAGAAAGATTTTTTTCCGAATAACGTTATATTTGCTGTTTTTATTTTTTCAATGTTTATATGTATCACATTAAATAGATGTTTACAGCCCATGTTCATAATATTTTATTTCAAATATGCATTGACAAACAATGAATACTTTCAATGTATAAATATGCGAAGTTTCAAGTCAATTACCGAACCCCGACTTAATTCTCACAAAATTTTGATTTTACCTGATCAAAATTTGATCAAACTTGCTTGCAATTCCTAATTTTCTATCTTTGAATGTTTCTGCTGTTTTAATATACAGATATCAGATAATCTAAAAACACGTCATAATGAATACAATGAACGAATAATAATAATACGAATGAATGTTAAAAGTATATATTAGGTTCTTGTCGAAATCACGTTATGTAGGGAAAATTGCCCCCCCCCCCTCTCTCTCTCTCTCTCTCTCAATTTTGCCTGATCAGAATTTGATCAGATTTGCTTCCAATTTGACAATCACAAAAGGTATTGTCACCTGCCTTACATTCTCGAGATGCATTAATTAATACAATTCCGTTTAAATTGTCTACACACGCTCAAAAGTTGGATGGTACACAAGCTTCAGCCTGTCCCTTCCCCCTGGGTACGACTGTTTAATTGAAATTTACGCGATCGATGTTCATGTATATTACAACTTTCCAAACGTGTATTAAATGTAAAATACAGTTAATAAAATCCATATCATAAGTGTATTTATTCCTGTATTTATTCCATTCAAATATATTTGATTTTAGGTTTACAAAACAGCAATGCAATTTCATCATGTTTTTGTTCATTAATCAATGTCTAATTTTCAAAATATATTTTCAATTTAAAAAAAAAGAATTTTTTTTAGTAAACTAGAAAAAAAGCGTTTGAATATTGTAAAACAATGGGTTAAAGAATAACTTGAAAATATAACTAATCTCATGCATTTTTTTTTAATTGACAATTTTCAAATCAAAAAAGAAAACTGGGCCGGCGGATTTCGGGTCCCAATTTAAATGTCCCTAATTCCGCCGTTGCAATTAAATTGAATCGAAAATTCAAACGTTTTAATCTTAGTTTTGTTACTGAGTCACTGTCTAATTTTCAAAATTTATTTTCATTTTTTTTTAGTTAGCTAGAAATTATAAGCTAATTCAGAGAATCTGTGTCCCCTGCTTATAAGGAAAA